TTGTTATTTTTTAGTCACACATTTTTCATAACAATAATATTACATATAAACTATTTTTTTTTTTAAACTTTTAACCATACATTTTCTAAAAAAATCACATGATTATCTATTATGATGTCATGTACGTTAGTTCTATTAAATTAAATAATGTTACTCATGATTTAAAATTTATTGGAATTTTATATAGGCCGAAATTTGGAAAAGTAAGATCAGAAGTTATGAATAGTAGTTAAAGACATTTCAATCTCCAAGGCTGTACTCACGTGCTCCCACCCAATTACGGCAAGACTGACCAAACAGTTAAAACTTCAAGCCGCCGCCCCAACCCACTGAATTTAGACATAACAGTTGATTTTCGGGTCAGTATTATGTAATACTTGGGACCCATTAACCAACCTTTTCATGTCCAAAGTAAGAGTATTTATTCCAGGGTTTAGGGACTTGAACCTAGACAATTTATCGGATATTCGGATTCAAGGATTCATGACTCTTATTATAATCCAACTCTTGAAAATGTCATTTTAATGTAGCTAAGCAACTTTGTCGTGGAATAAGATACGAAAATTGTAAAAAAAGTGGTCGAGTTGGTGAAACAGGTGAACGAGGAGACCAAAAGTTACGAATTCGAATCTACTGCCAACATTTCCTCAATCGAGCTCTTCTCACCGGATTTACCTAGTGTGGTTTACTTCTTCTGTGTGGTTTGTAAGCTATTGCACATTGAGCAGAGTTTACTTAATGTGCACTCACAGTAATCGGGGCCTCCGCTGGTAAATGGCGGCTGTGGATTCCCACGTCAACAAAAAGGATATGAAACTTGTAAAAATTAATAAAATACATAAGGATTTGTAAAATAATTATAATAGTCAAAGTTGAAGTCAGGATACAAAAAAATAATTTGCAATAAATAATAGAAAGTCCTAAGAAGTGTGAACGAAATAAATTTGATTACAACTAATCCCATGAAATAAATACATATTATTTTAGACCACTAGTTAAGAAGCAAGTAAATTCCTAAGATTTGGTCCACACTTTGATTAACAACAAAAGTCACGAGCCTGTCACATGCACTGAACCAAGAAAAAAAAATCCATTGAGCCGAAATAAAAACACGGAATTGGAAGTGTGAATTTGAAGACATATGGCATGTGGGACAGACAAAAGTGCAAATGAAAGATTAGGTTCCATGAATATCGAGCGAATTAATTTACTTGTATGAAAATATTTTGACGAAAAGTTTGACAAATGTT